AGAAGAGTTCGAGGAAAGTCGGCAGAGAGGTGGCTTGGTAAACGAAATCAAACACGTGAGGACTGAAGGAATTAGAACTTCTGAGATGGTGGACTTAATTTTCACGAGGTTATTAGTAATTTGAACAACACTAGAACAATCTAGGCGAGAATAGATATGTAAGGAGGATGGTCACCCGTCCCCAAAGCACGACTATCAGCTTTAATCCATTGGTGGTGCATAGCTAGGAAGACTTTCGACGCTAGTATCGGAAGATGGTCTTGGTAGGTTAGGTGGCTTGGCCACTTGCTGCGCATGCTAGTCAACTGACTTCCTTGAGAGGATCTTTACGCACAGCCACGTGAAGGGCAGAAGACAGCCGGAGGCAGTCAAACAATGACTTGGCAGCGAAGTATAAGCGCCAATATGGCAAACTCAGCTGCGCTGGTTATTGCCGTCTCTCTGGATGGGGGCCCCGGGACGGGCCATATCAGTGATTAGAGAGATTGTTGGACATGGCCAAACTGCGCCCTCAGTGGATCTGGTGCCTTCAATGCATAACTCCCTCCCCACTCCTCCCACTCAGCACTCCACCTACAGTTCTGTATTTACGCACCAGGTTTCCAGCTCCCACACCTCCACTGCGCAGCCCCCTACATCACTTCACTGAATCATCGGTGAACAAAGACGTGGCAGGTGCGACAACTTTACGACGGGTATGCGGCTGTTACAGCCGACAATGATGATGACGCCAACTTAACATGAGGGTAAGATTAGAGGTCGCCAGTCACGGATTCACAGCTGTCAGCTCCAAGAAACGAATAATGCGCGGCAGAAACAGTCATTGAGCGCTAAATATGACTACCCCGCTGCCTGAATGCGCTGCACACACTTGTCCTTACACCAGTTGGTCTTCAGTTGCAAGGTCAGTTAACAAAAAATTCACCCTTTCGTAGGTTCATTTAGCTTGCTACCAAGCCTTTTTGATCTTATCTTCCATCGGACGACATTTTATCTCTTAACTCCCGGCACTCAGCAGTCTACTTATTCCAGTCCATCCCTCCATCCTCCCAGGTAGTTTACAGTTACTGGTTGCACCATGCTAAATTAAAGTGAGGTCAACCGTATAGGTCAGAATGGGATTTATCCTCTGTGGATAACCGGTGAGAGTTCCTGGGTGAAAGATTGGGTGGTAAAAATGTGTCTTATCTGCGATATAACTGCCACACATGTTCCGTTATAGTCCGCGGACTTGTGGAGTTCGGTTGACTTCTTTCCCCCTGCGTGCGCATGGTATGTTCAGTTACAGCGTCGTGTCTTCCCATATATCAGAGGTTTTGGCGCATTATTCCGATGCGGACGAGATGGGAAACTGAAGGTTGTCGGTCAAGGTTGGGAGCTGGCTGGGGTTTGTCGCGTGAATTCTGTTTCTGCGGAGCAAATGTGCTGCGCGATCTAGTGAGTACGGACGTATCAAACAGATGGTGCGATGTTGGATAAAGGAACAAGGTGACTGATGTAGATCCTTGGGTGACCTTGCTTTTCTCCAGCGAGCTGAAAGAGTTTAGCTCGTGTCGACGAATATTCTCCGCAAAAACCAAGTCGGTTAGAGACTTTTTTGTTACTGCTTNGCATGGTATGTTCAGTTACAGCGTCGTGTCTTCCCATATATCAGAGGTTTTGGCGCATTATTCCGATGCGTACGAGATGGAAACTGAAGTGTTGTCGGTCAAGGTTGGGAGCCGGCTGGGGTTTGTCGCGTGAATTCTGTTTCTGCGGAGCAAATGTGCTGCGCGATCTAGTGAGTACGGACGTATCAAACAGATGGTGCGATGTTGGATAAAGGAACAAGGTGACTGATGTAGATCCTTGGGTGACCTTGCTTTTCTCCAGCGAGCTGAAAGAGTTTAGCTCGTGTCGACGAATATTCTCCGCAAAAACCAAGTCGGTTAGAAACTTTTTTGTTACTGAAGGCTTATGATACCACCTTCGCCGATCACCACTTCTGTCCCCAAAGTTGAATGAAGTTGGCTTATGTATGATGTACTTAAATAGTAAACTTTGGTTTTTCTGTGAGAGATCTAATACTCCGATGATGGGTTTCTGATTCACAGCAGTTCCACATTTCACGAAATGCCTATTCATCTTCTGTGTCTCTCGTGTTGATTTTTAAAATTATCCAAGACCTCTTTTACAGAAGACGACGAGTCCTCTGAGGTGGCTTGCGGTTTATTTGACCGTGCGCTTTTCGGGCAGCCTCTGTATTAGTGCTACCTGAAACACAGTTCGTACTTCATCAGCGGAGTCATATCATTACTGTGACATACCTCAGTGTTGTTTTACAATTCAACGTTCGACACATTACCCGACCTGCTACGCAAACTTTCTTGCCACATTTGCGGCAAGGCGTTTCCTTACGCTTCCTGCTTCATACAAGTCCTGTGGATGAGGGGCGTGAATGGAAAAGCCCTCAGTTGTGTCGTTTTTTCGACCGGTCTCACCAAAGCTCTATAATAGCACCGGTATCTCCTATGATGTCGAAAGGTCTGTTAATCAGTTTAGACTACGGCTTCGGTGTCACCGGGCAGAAGCTGACCATCGCTTGGCTGCGAGCTACGCTTCGGTTCTGGCAACTGTTAACCATCAAAATCGACCGGAGGAAATGCTGATACATTAGTTTGCTGTTTGGTTTCAAGATGGTCTCTGTGGATTTCACACTCGATCTTCAGCCTTTGCTGGCATTCCATATATGGCTGTGTACTCGGGCGACACGTTAATTTCAGAAGGCTATAGTGACAAACCGGTAACTTGTGATATTATTGCACATTACCTCATTTGATATCTCCTCAAACTCACCATGCTCCCTGTGCCCCGAAACCGGGCCGACGAAACCAGCTGCCTCTCCGGACAGCAGCTTTTATTCGACGTCCACAGGCCTCTCACCCACCAAAGGGAGGGACGCCCTGGAAGAGGCAAACCCCACATGCAAGCAGCGCCAAAACTACGTGGAGCTATCAACGCTTATCTCCGTATCAGAGGACAGCTGCAGTCGTGCACTCCTCAACAAAGTCACAACCTCTGAACTGGACTGAGTCAGATGTGCGGGGACAAGGAGCGAAGCCAATCTCTAGCTCCACTCCGTCAAAAGCTGCATC